AAAAAAATTGAATGCTCACACAATTACAGTTTACAAACAAACAGACAAATTACACGTGACAATGGTATCAAAAGCCGTGACTAACCTTGACTGCAACTGGTTCCATGGTAACCAGCATGACATCCTTGTGTGTGACAGAGTCCGGTCACTCCGTTGCATCCGGGCGTCTTACAATGACATTCCTCAACACAGTTCTCCCCAAATGTAACTGATGAACAAGCTATATGAGAGAAAAATACATACTTTATTAATATGAATGCCTAATTGAACATACGTATATAAAATAATATAAATGATATAGTGCGCATATAAATAATCGTGAAATTGTAAGCATATTAAATGGAGATATGCATATCAGTTCTAGCTTTATACGTGCGCAGTACAGCTCACATTCTGCTTAATAACACACGGCACAGATAGCATGTGCTAATCCTTTATGAATAGGAGAAATACGAACAAAACCAATTTTTCGAGGTAGTTATGATTCATCCCGAAGACAATAAATATAAAACCCTTAGGTTTGAAGAAACGTTTTCATCTTTATATATAAGTTCAGACAACAAGCCATAAGTTACGATAAGGAGTAAAGATAAAAACGTCGAGTTTTTCGCCATGCAGGGCAATTAATGAGGATATATTTTAAATGTTATCTTGTGAGGAGTACGGTAGGGCAAAGGACCCAGAGGAAGCGCTTTCTTAGATGTTTTAAAAAAATTGTTTGTTTTCCCTTTCCTTATTTCAGACCGGTTTAAGCAATGATTACAGAAACACGCTTCTATTATTTTACACACCTTGATCACAATACCGTGGTCCAGTCCATCCCGCATTACAGTGTGCTAAATCACAAACTCCATTGTCAGGGTTACATCCGTGTTTACAGTGGGTACAAGTGTACTGACACTGGTCACCATATTTATATGTAAAACAACCTGGCAAGTTAATTAGTTTAAAACGTATATTTATTTAAGCCTCAAATGTTGTGAGTAAACGCACATTCGCTCAACGATTGTTATTTTAATTTTAATTTAAAAAAATAGAAAGTAAAGAACATGGAACTAATTGCAAAAGATAATTTATTTGCATTTGTGTTGAATGTAAACTAAATGAAGTTGTATTTTATTGTACAACACAAGAACCAAAAACTGCTTTATAATTTGTTTAACCTCACGTATTTTATACAAAGAAAGTTCAACCACGGAAGTTTAACCTATATGGAGTTTATGAGCCATTTCATATTTTGTATAAAAATCATCTCTGTCATTAAGGAACGTTGGAAGTTTAAAATTACCGTAAATATCGACCTCACACACGTCCATATACGCTAGTGTTGGTGCTGTCCTTGTGATGATTATCATCACTCTCCGACCGGTTCTGTTACATGAGGTGATGTTTTGAGTTAAGTTTGGGACGCCGACGTCCACATCCTCGTAACATTTGATACCAGACGGTATACCTGTATCGTTTGATATCCACAAGGCAAAGCCATCGGCACGAGCTGTCGACGATAAAGATAAAATACCATTTCAATAATGACTATTTTGCCTTCTATGATTCGTGTTCAACGAAATATCAGTGAATGGTTACGTTCACAACTGACACACAGCGTCGTTATTCAAATGAGATGGGATCTATATTTATAAAGATTCTGCAGTATGATACTTAAGTGTGGTGTACGACGCTGACAGAAAGACAGGAAAGCAACATGAAGCCATTTGACTTTAACTGTTACAGGCTTAGGAATGTATGCATGGTTTGTCTCTACCTTAGGATAGTCTTATAAAGATAAAAATAGATATAAATGAATGAGTACCATGCAAATAAACACACACTGCCATTGGAAGTGACGTTTGCATAATCCTGGTCGTCCAACCAGGAAGGATGATTTTTTAACATTACGAAATGGGAAATTAGTTACCATACCATTATTGTCAATTAGTTTATTACTTATAGAGATACAGTATTTTTAGTGTTTGTCGTTCGATCAGTTTTCTCATCGCTCGCACGTAGAGAAAATCCCGCATTGACACGAATTGTAAAACTGCAAGGTCAGTTTACTACTATAAAATTAGTAGTGGTATACGAACGACTCACCTGAACCTCTAAACACTATGTCGATTTTCTGTATTCTTGCCTTAGCAGGTAAAGTCCCTCGCCACCAGACCATATTTGCCCCAGTGGAGGCCATACAAATACTTGGAGCAAAAGGACCGTAATTTCCGTCTGTTGTGCCGGACATAGGGAAATCTGGATTCACGGGCGTTGCATCCAATTCCAACTGATTCTTTAGGTTGACTGTAAGTGTGAAATTGAATTATTATTCTTTTGATTCTATTTTAATTACACACATGACTGAATTCAATAAAACATATCATGGTATATATTATGTGATATATTTTTTACAACAACGTAGTAAATGTGCATTGAATCTATTATAATTTCGATGTCTTGCTGTTACATGTATATGAAAATATGCAAGTTGTTACACGGAAATTAGATAACAGCTCATCATAGTCTTAACGTGCCATTTATCTCAGTAGTGGCCCTCTAAACCGCTAAAAAGTAATGATATATGTGACCTTTTAGATTATCGTACTCTTTTAACATGAATCTCTTTCTAGCACCGATAAGTTCGTCTTCGCAGTGGTTATCTAGGCCTTTGCGATAACTAGGTTAGTTCTCCCTGTTTCCTACTTTCCCCGCTATGCGACGCTAGACATAGTTGACATGTTCTACTTCCGGGGTCTATGGTTCCGGTTGACAACGAGTGAGAAAACGTAACGATGCCTCCAAAGACCAGGACATTTTGATGTATGTGTAGCAACTATAGGGGAAAAGAACTTGATTCAAAACGAATATCACTGCACAGGTTTCTAGCAAACGAAAGAGTAAAAAAAGTTTAGTTGCAACAATGCAACCTACAAATGTAGTGATGACAACGTTTAAATACACAAAGAATAGTTTATTTTGCTCAGACCATTTTGTCGACAGAGACGGACCCTCTCCCATCAACCCTGTTCCATCATTGTTTGGAAGTAAATAATTCAGAACTTCGGTAAGATTTTTCTTGAATATTAAGAATACCAATATAATATACCTGTGATAATCAATATTGACAGGTCATTATATCAATACGTAGATCTATATATCTTGTACCCCACTGTGTACAGGTACACAATTTAGCACTAGCTGACAGGATGTGATCACATGTGGTTAACATTCATGACAAGTGTCACCTATAATAACTAATTACTTACATCATCGCTACATAGGGGGGGGGGGCGGAGGCAAAAACTATCACCTTAAAAAGGTTTATAAATAAAATGTAATGTAATAATAAATATTAACATATGCCAATATAGGATGTATGAAAATTGCAGGTCATATATATCAAACTATAGGCCCATTTGGCCTAGTGGAGATGATATAGATAGTAACATGCCTAAAATGTTTGAAGAAAAAATTCCCACAGCAAGAGTGGTTATTGACGCTACAGAGATACAGACAG